ATTTATATTTAATATTATTTTTTTATTTATATCTAAGTGTATGTTTAAAATCAAGACTTTATAGATAGATAACATCTCAATAATCCCCTGGAATAGTAGAGGAGTCTGCGAAAATCCTTTAGAGAATGATTAAACTCTACAACCAAGACTCGTCTCTTGCATGAAAGAGACCAGTAACAGAGCATATATCACACTTAATATGATTGCTTTGTCGGAACATCTTTTAAGAAACTAATCAATAAGGAATATCTGCCCTATTCAATAAAATATTTGAAGAAACTAGTTTTTCTCTCCAATCCCTAACTCTCTGGTAGTGGATTAAATGAACTTGATCTAAGAATTATAAACTACTATGCATCTCATCTCATGACCTGTCTCAAGGATAGATTGAATATAACTGGAAAAAATAGAGAATAAAATGAAAGCAAGTTTATCTCTAATAGCTGTAGACATGAATTTACCACTCTATTAACTTTCTAAAACATTTACGGTAACACATATTACCTTTGAATCTTAAACAGCCATAAATATGATTCATTAAGAGATCTTAGAAAACACATGTTAAAGATAATCGGTATCAATTTCTGATGGCCTTGTCCTTTACAAAAAGCATTATTTAATAACTAAAATTTCCGTAAACCGACTATTACTAAATCCCAATCAGATAGATTACTGAATAAGCACAAACATGGTTTGTCACCAAAGATATCGCTAAGAAACTATCCGGGAATCACATCCGTAAAAGCAAATGAATGGCCTGAAAGATTAAACAATATCAATGATTTCAAATAAGCTTACCAAACAATTAATAAAATCATTCATAAAAAGAAAGGATAGATAATGGCCAGACTTGAAGCCCACAACATATTGGAAACAATTTATAAAGTCAAAGAATTTTATGAAGAAAAGTTTGCAAAGTTATATTATCCCCTCCGATTAAAAACAAAGGACTAAAAAATTATATGGCCCAACCTGAAATAGGGTTTGTATTTTGGAAAATAATCAAAAAGATCCCCAAAATTTTTCTCAATATCTTTAGGAGTATTTCCTCAGACAAAGCCCAAGTACCAGATAAAATATGATATTATAGATGGCTAAAACGATATGACAATGCTATGCCCATTTCTTGGCTCGAAGACTGGGCTAACGGTAAGGAAAACTCCCGCCATGGGTTAATATCACCAACTATATGGTACAATCGAGAGACTGATTCAGCAATCCCAAAGTTGAAATAAAAAGATCTATAGCTATGATCTCCTCAATTAAGTAGTTGATCGAGGCATAAATTATGCTACTTTATGGTTTCCTTCTATGTTCTAAAAAAGGTAGAAGGTTAATGCCATTAGACTATGATATGCAAAAACATAGCAAATTTTTTACAAGAAGTATAAAGATATTAATACTATGCTGCCTGTTTTATCAACATTACTTAAACTTTGATGCTATCCTCTAACTCATCTTAGTTGATGAAGTGCAAGATTTGCATAAATACTAAGGATTTCAAAAGAAATTTAAGCACCTTCGGGTATTAACAGATTAAAATAAGAAGATAGCTATGAATTTCAATTCTAGTTTGCTATTGGTTATTAAAGGAGGGCTTAGCTAAAGAAAATTATCATAAGATATGAGTGATGACTTTCTAATTATCAAATCATAATAATAGGAGTCTATAGACTAAAATATTAAAATTTAGAAGGAATTAAATAGTTATAATTCATTTATAATTTAAAATTGCAACTTCTCACGGGGTTTTGGGGTTTTGGGGTTTTGGGG